GTTCAAACCACCAACCTTTCAATTAAGCAGTCAATCGATGAACTATTGTGCCACCAGGGCTCCTTTTCCCAACTTGGTAGCAGCTTTAGGGAAGTAGGAGATGAAATACAGCTCACTCCCCTTTTCACACCAATCACCAACAGTAGCTCTGGGCAGCAGCTCTTAGCCACTGATTGCTGTTCACTGGTAAAACAATAATGGTCACTACATAAACTATCAAATCTGTAGAGTAGCGCTGTCTTGTGGAATTTGCTGGGATGATGGAAATGTTCTATATCCTGTGCTTTCCAATACAGAAGCCTCTAGCCACACGTAGCTATTGAGCACTTGAGGCATTGCTAAAGTGACTAAGGAACTCAATTGTAGATTTTATTTCATTTTAATTAACTTAAATAGCCACGTGTGGCTAGTGGCTACCATACTGGACAGCGCAGCTCTAGAGTAGCTAAGAGAAGAAAAACACACACAACTACACGTGTTTCACTTAATATCTAACTCACATTTATTAAAAATTGAAGAATACAGAAAAGCATGACTAAGACTGGCTTTATTAAACAAGCTGAATTAACTTACCTTTCACTAATAAATGAAAGCATTTAATACCACAAAAGGAATTTTGAGAATGAGGTCTATTTCCACCTCCGAAATTAAAAAACAAAAGAAAAGCAACAAAATTTTCCAAAGAGCAACCACAGACCTCCCTCTAGTGGCAAGAGATAAAGGTACTGCTGAAAAGCTAGTTGCTCCTGTAGCTATACGTAAAACTGCTCACAGAAGTTTCTTTCATAAAATTATAACTTAAAAATTCTAGATCAATATATAAGGAAAACAAATCTGATTTTTTTGTCAACAAAAATTAGAGCTAATTTTTACTTACTATGAATGCTAACCTCTCTAGAAATCTGATCTCTCCAGGGAAAAAAGGTAGTGTTGCCAATGACATTTAGGAAGTTGGAGGCTTTCACAAAACAAAAGTTGGTGGAGCCCTAACAAAACTGTGAGCAAAAGAAAAGAAGCAATTCTTCTCTGTTGATAAATGATCCAGGATGCAGCATTAAAAAGTAGCTAATTTAGAAGTATAAGGTAGTAAGCAACACTGGGGTTTGTTAAAACTCAAGATACATCAAAATAAACAATAAAAATGATATTACAAGAGTTCTGAATAACCAAAACAACACTTTTCATTCTGATAATCAGTTTCAAAAGACAGCTCTGTGACATTGCCAGTTTTAATTACAACCATACATACCCATTTAGATTTAACTACTAAACTACTTTCAAGTACAGAAGGAACTCAAAATATAAACTACTGTGTGACAGCTACTGTTATTCCCTCACAGCTTCAAGAAAAACAGCTTTTATATACATGGTGGTAAGTACAGAATGTACAGAAGACAGTTATATATACAAAAGTGCATTAATATAGTGATACATTTAGCAGAAATACAGGAAAAAATCCTGGTTAACAATCTGATACATTACAGTATTTAAGACTACTTGAAGATTCTCCAAACCAGTCAACTTCCTACTTGCTTTGGTTATGATATTGATGCTACATAACTAACATTTGTAACTAAAAAAAAAAAATTTGAAATTTTTAACCATCTGTGAAATGTTTTACATATACTTGTGTTTCTCTTTAATAGCTTTTTTATGACAGTACTATTAAATTTCCAACCCAAAGATACCAAATGGATAATACTTATATCTAAATTAGAATAGCCAAATAGGAAATTAAATTGACCCACTAAAGGAACAGACATTGTCTTCTCTATTCCTAAAAGCCTCAGCTAGATAACCTAACCCCAAAGTTTCAACTTAAATCCAGTAGATCAGCTACTATTAAAGAGCAAGCAGCTCCACAAAACAAGTCATGGCTTCAGGCCACTGTTCCTTAGAACAATTCAGAAGAGTAAGTGTTAACTTGTAGTTTATACATATTAATTCTACAACTACCTTTAAATAGTCAAAATGTATATGCACAATTAGAGCAATTCTCCCCTTTCCCACCCCATCCCTCACCACAAAAAAAGGACACAGATTTCCACAGGTTCCATTGACCACAAAGATGTAACAAATCAACTTGACAGTAAAGAAAAAGTACCATACGTCGAATTCAGAGAAGACGAAACTAGTTTTTCCGAGTTCAGTATGAATGTCAAATTAAAAATAAAACGTATCATCATGTGATCTAGGTTAAAACATTAAGAACCTTAATTTAAAATATAATGGGGAGGGGGGCTAAAAACAAATAGCTTTAATATTAGAAAAAAAATGAAAACATTTTAGTGAGTCAACTCGGATCTTCAGCTATACTATGTGACTTTCTTACTTTTAACAGCCAGTTAGAGAAACTTTCAGCGTTCCTTCTAAGCCTTTTGTAATAAGTAAATTACTTTCCAAAGAAATAAAAATTAAGCATTCTAAGGAGGTATGTTCCAGATACTCTGCTGACAGAGATGCCTAGGTCCAAATATCTCGCAGATGGTTCTCACCCACTTAGCATAATTTTATTTTAGAGATAAAATTAGAAACCAGACTTAAAATGAATCCAAAATTACCACAGCGCCTGTGCATACAAATAGTGATTTTCTAACTAATAGTTCTCTTTAAGGATTAAATTTACGTCTAAATTTAGACATGCTGAACGTCAGTGTGCTCAACACAAATACTATTATTTGAATACAACTGTTCCGAACTATAAACTGAGTTTAAGTAACCCCCCCCTCCCAATTCCAAACAGACATTTTTCTTGAAGATAGAAGTGTTAAAAGGCAATTTGTTACAGGGAGAGTGGGGAGGGGAGCGTTCCAGCTATTACACAAATGAATGCAAAGAATCCCTAAAGTTAACAAGAGAACCAACTTGCTAGATAATCTCTGTTCTCGGAGTTCTTTTGCCCACACTTTGAAAATTATCCTTCCAGATACTAAAAGTTATCTGGTTTAAAAAAGTATTCTTTTTTCAGGGAGGAAAAAAAAAGAATACATTAAAGCATACTTTAGTTAACTTTCAATGTGCAATGACCTAGCTGGGCCAAAAGCAAAGTTCTGCAAATGAAATTTTAAGATCTGAAGGTTTTTGTTCAGTTTTATAAGCTATAACCATTGATGGGCTCAATTTAAAGGATTTGCTTACTGCTATCCAAGACCATGGGCATTTTATAAAATGAATTACATTTAGATCATTTTTAAGTTTGGAAAAGCCTGATATTGACAAAAGTACAGTTCACCTTTAAGGCACATGAGGCTATATAGAGAAAGCCACGAACAAAAGTCTCTGCTACAGAACTTGGAGACAAACGAGACTCCTATATTGGTCGAGTACTAACATTTTTGGCTTAAATGTGAAGACATTTGATACAGTTCACAATTTTTAAAGCTCATCAGAATCAGGATACCTTTCTTTATACAGTAGTTTCCTGCAATTTTTTCTTTATAAGGGGATTCAGCACTTTTAAAAGCTGAATAAAATGAGATGTCCACCCAATCTACAAAGAGTCATCTAATTAGAAGTCTGGGACTAATTCAGCAATATCTGTTTTACCAAGGGACTGAGGAACTGGACAAAACTTCCATAGCCTAACAAAAAATGAGACAAGTCTCATAAAAAAAAAAGGTGTTATTTTCCTCTGAGTTCTTGTTGAGACAGATTGAACTGACCCTTTATACCCCACTACATATTATACTGAGTTGCCTTACTTTTACTTGCAAAACTATAGAAAACGACATGCCATTTTGTTTAACTCAAGGTTCATAATTTTAAAAGCTGTGGTGGGTACTGAACAGACTACTACAAAATCTCTAATAAAATGCTTCTGGATAAATCTGTGGGGACTTTATCAGGCCCTCAGTTAACAAAGCTTATTTTTAAAGGCGAGACTTATTTGCTCCAGTGTCAATTCTCTACAGATGAAAACTGACATTGGAAAAAATAAGTCTTGCTTTTTATTTTTTTAAGTTTTTAATGGTTAGTTAGGGTTTATATTTTAAAAGAAGAATAGTGAGTTGGACTTGTATTAAATTGAACTCAGAGATACAACAGATTGAATAAATCATGACTTATTCCAAGAAAGAGATAATTCAAAGCTACTACATGAGCAACAAAACAAAGTGTAACCCATTAGCAAAGAACAAAAGAGTTTTTTGTTTATGTGGTTTTCTGCTTTTGGGAGGGTGGGGGGTGGGGAAAGACTTTTCAATCTCCCTCTTGGATCATAAGCAAACCCAAGTTGTTTAACTTTTTTCTTTTAATCAAAGGAAATATGTTTAATCTCCTCCAAACCAATGGTATGGACTATCTCTAATTTATAGTACCATAAAAACAGAGTGCATCCAGATTTACACAAAATCTCATGGTACACATCTATAAACACTCAAACTTCTATAAACTTTTAACATCGGCATTGTGGCCCTTTGGTAAACTTGTTTAATAGTGACTGAAATTAAATCTAAGGTAACAAGACTACATGATTGTTGTGAGACAGTAGAAGAACTGGTCTTATTACATCACAACCCTGTATAGGATATTCTTCTACTAGTCACTCAAGTAAGTTGCTTCCAAGTATTCAACAGATAAATGCTGCTCTATGGTATTCAAGGGGCCCTGGTGGTGCAGTGGTTAAGAGCTACGGCTGCTAACCAAAAGGTCGGCAGTTCGAACCCACCAGCCACTCCTTGGAACCCTATGGGACAGTTCTACTCTGTCCTATAGGGTCGCCATGAGCTGGAATTGACTGGATGGTAACATGGGATGGTATTCAAAACTGGTCTATTTTCCTTGAAGAGTAGGTAAAGAGACTAGCCAATCATTCTTTTTGCTTTTGCTAAGAGCAGGTAGATAATTTACTCCTCTCCATTTATTCTTCCTGTACTTGGAAGGAAAAACATGATCCTTCCTAAGGGTATTGTGGAGTCTAGCCCCAAGCTTTCTTTGGGCCCTCTAAGTTGGTTAGGAGCACCAAACAGGGCAGGAGGAAAAGTCAGAAGAAATACTCAAACTGAAAACTATACACACACATATGCTTTTATCTTAGTAAAACTTTAAAATATGAATTTAGTAGTCTTCAGAATGTTACCACCATACCACAGACCTCAGCAAAGCTGCAATATATTAATTTTTATCCTCAGTTTCCATTATTTGGCCTTCAAGGAACCAAGATGAAATCAAAATTTCAAAAACATGATTGTAAGTGAAGTCTTTTGTCAACTGAGAATTGAGAATTTAGCTTTTAATCTTTTTCTTAATGAGCCACTTGACAGAACAAAAAGTTAAAACAAAAGAAAACGTAGAAATCCATTAACCTCTGTGCTCTAGAGTTTAAACAAACACTGATTACAACTCCTCCTCCTACAGAATCATTATCACCCCCAAAACATTATCCACAATAAAAACAAAACATTAGGAAAATCAGAAAGCAGCTTGATTGTCAGTAGTATCAGTTTCCATCTTTAACCCATGTGAACGTTCAAAGACGTCAGTAGAAGAAAACGATACACACTATTTCTAATATTCATTATAACAAACTCTCTAGGAAAACATTTAAAGTAATGCCATAATTTTTACATTTAAAATTAGAGTTCTATTAATTACCAACAAGTTAAAGTGTCTTCTATATTTCACTGCTTGGTCTATTTCTAGCAATTTATAGAGAAGTTTAACAGAATTTTAAGGGTTTTCATCAGTTAATTTTGAATATGAACTTGTTCACATGCCAGAAGCTGTCATACCAAATATTTTAAAATTAGAGCTGTGCGGAAACAAACAAATGGCCAACAAAAAGAACTTAAGAGAAAATCTGTCTGAGACAGTTTTACAGCCTAAAATTTCAGAAGACCGTGGAAAAGCAGAATCGGTTGTTTTGCCTGATTGCTTTCTCTACTGAATATTAATCACATGGCATCAAATCTAAAATTCAGCTACTAATAACATTATTGCCTCAGTAGTCATCACCTACAGAAAGAATTCTGAATTTACATAAAATGAAAAACAAATCTAACAGGAAAAACATCAGGGCCTGTTCTTCTACCTTTGAGTGAATAATGAATGAAAATAGATAGAACTAAACCAACGAAGGCACTATTGTAAACAGCAAGCCATACTGCCCACTTCAAAAAAAAAGGTTTCTGCTAGGAACTGAGAATCATGCTGTGGCCCTTTGGAAAAAATAAACTAATACTACCAAAAGGAAATTGTGACATTAAGAAGGGAACTGAATTATGATCTCTACACATGTATGTATACTGACATAAATTAGTTGTCAGCAGTACCTTGAAGTGTAACAGTACTAGTCTTTGAAAAAGTCCACTCAACTACTACACAGTTTAAACAGCCAAAACATTTACCTAAGTTAGTGGTTCTTAAACTAGAATGTGTATCAGAATCACCTGGAAAACTTGTTAAAACACCATGCTGGGCCCATCCCCCACAAGGTTTGGGGTTGAGCTGATAATCTGCATTTCTTACCAGTGCCCAGGTGATCCTGGTGCTGCTGACCTGGAGACCACACGGTGAGAACCACTGACCTAAATTATTAATGGTACATCAAGCACAGCCCTAATCAAAATTTTGGTCAAGATGCATGTAAACAAATAAGGATAGAATACTTCAATGCTTGCCTAAGAACACTGATAAATTCACCCTTAATTACATCAAAACATCTACATCTGCTTCGTGGTCTTCCTCAGTCACTTTCAAGGACAGCACTTCTTCATTAAGGAAGAGCCCACTGAGCCTCTCCTTCCGAGCCTGCCTCTGCTCTTTCAGCTGCCTCTTGCGTAAGGCCTTCTGCTGTAACTTCCGCTGCTTGGAACGCTTCTGTCAAAATAAAAAAATTTCTAAATCAGTAAGGTTCAGTTCTGGAAAATCCACCCCACAGGGTTTTATGGATCAAAGTCTATATTTTCAGAATTTTAAGAGATGTTCAAATTTCTCTGCAGTACAATCTCCTTGTTCTAATAAGTGAACCATTGACTTAGACATGAAAATGATTCTTCATGATTATATTTTTATGGTATTTGACCAGCAAATCTTTTGATCAGGAAGGGCTGAAACGTTCTGACTAGTTAGGAGTAACCCGTCATTTCAAAGACTTTTTATCAAATTAAGGTATACTAGTGTCAACGCACAGCAAACACAATTAATACTAGGGAACAATATTGAATACAAATTGTAGATAAAATTGCCAAAATCTCAAAGAATCATGCCGTTTTCATATTTGACAAAGCTTAATACCATTTAAAAGCCCACTAGGAACCCAGTGGGTACTCTATAATCTTTTTGTCACTGGTGAAGTGATGCCAAAAAGGAATGACCACATATCCAGAGAAATCCCTTGGCAACCAACAAAGTTGGCTATGTTTCTGCTGCTTCAGTAAGAGCCAGGGAAGGAATCATTGTGTATCCTGAAGTCACCACTGGGTTCCCAAAGAGTTACAGAGATCCCTTTTATCATCCCTAACTTGGCTCCAAACTCTGTTGACACTGCAGGAACTGAACCCCCCTGCTAAGCATCACAGATCCATTCTGTATACATTTATACCTTCTTTTTTTCCTTAAGTGCCCAACAATATTATACAGAATATTTCCAACTGTGAAAAGAGAAGACAAATGACAGAAAGCATTATACTTTTAAATTAGCTAAGAAGAAACATTCAAGATTAAAACATTAAGAAAACATTTAATACACAAGACATACAGAACACTCATAGGAGCTAATAGACAGCAACATCAGCAACATAGTGAGATTCGCTCAGTAGTGAGTTGCAGTCAATATTGCAATCTTGAGAATCACTCATTATTTTCATCAATTTATCGCACTTAAAACAGACATAGAAATCAGATAAAATTGAATGCAATATTCTTGTGGGTCAAAACAGCGTTTCAAAGCACTCAACATAGAATGCTTTGTTCAACAGCAGAGCATCCTGCTTGTTCAATTAAAACCAAAACCCACAGGCATCTAGATAGCAGGATAATTTTAACTCCTCAAGAAATTTATATGAAGAAGTACTAATGTTTATATTGAAAGGTAAAACTTTGTATTGATTAGACGTTTTACTTTTGAATCCCGAATCCGCTCTGCTGCACTTGCAGACAGGTTGCTGTCACTGTGTGCTCGACTCATGTTGGCACTGGAGTTTGAAGCAGAGTTTCCAACACTGGACCCACTGCTGCTTGCAGAACTGACCATGCTGGCACTGCTGCTGCTGGCACTGGCACTGGCACCGCTCACTCCACTGGTGCTTGCACAACTAAAGTTGCTTCTCTTCCAGGCCTCTCTTGCAGGCCGTTGGCGAGGGCTATGCTCCTTGATATAGTTTCTGACCTATGAACACACAGACAAAAAGTGGTCAGCATTGAACCTTGATGGTCTACCCTCAAAGTGCTAGAGAAAAAAATATTGCACTGAATTTTAAGAATTGTCAAAGTCACTGCAGAAGAAGAATCCTGATCAAAAGGGGGAAAATGCAGACAGAATTTCAAATTCTCATGGAATCCAGACTTTCTGAAGCCATAGAGGCTTGGACGAACCCCTGAAACTATTGCCCTGAGATAATCTTTAAACGTTAAACTGAAAGTGCCCCCTGAAGTCTTCTTAAAACAAATCAACAGTTTAGCTTAACTAGTAAAGAATGTCTGCCTTGACTAGTAAAGAATGTCTGCTCTTTCAAGATCTATCTGTATGGGATCAAACTCACAACAGCAACTCGAAAGGTTAGAAAGGAAACTTAGGGGGCACCGAGTGTACATTAATGGGGAGAAACAACATGGAAAACGAGGGGAAGAATGGTTATACAACTCAAAGAATGTAATCAATGCCACTGAATTGCACATGTAGAAATTGTTGAATTGGTGTAAGTTCTGCTGTGTATATTCTCAAAATCAGGAAAATAAATTATATTTTTAAAAAGCGCTATAGATGTATATAGGCAGAATATAAGGGCAAAAGAAATCTCTAAATGTAGAAACGAGTGCCAGAAAAATTGGCAATGTTTAAAATTCTAGAAAATCTGATACAGAACTAGATTTTTAAAGCATATAAAATATGTAAATGAAGGTTACTGGCCTCCAGAATTTAGGGTTCTAAGAAAATAACACTCTGAAATAGAAGCTAACAATAAAATAAAATGAATGAGATTAGCCATTTTTTAAAGTCTCCACTTAAGATGATTTGACCAAGTTGCTGATTATATCTAAGACAAGAGTGTTTCCTAAATCCTAGCTAGGGGCCAAGGGCACCTGTCTTCAACTCCAAGGCATCAATTTATCAGTCTACTGGAAAATCGCCTGGAATGCAGAAAATTATAGTATGTCTGTTGGGAGGAAATGCTGAAATGATAGAAATTTTCCCTGCATAATGATAAACGCAAAAACTAACAAAACAAACCACGAAAGTAGAACATAAGAACATAAATATTTATCCAATCACCTACCAGAGGAAAAGAAAGCAGGAAAGTTTATATTTAGAAGATACCAGAAATGCATATTTACATGGCACAGGGAAAATTCATTCAGTTTTACTCTATCCAAACTCAATATTCCTTAAGACTATTCAAAAGTCCCTCTGCTCAGATGTTAGTTTAGCTAAACCAAAGTATAGCTCTCATTAATCAGTATTTTGACTCTGTCAAACAGTCTCTTTTAAGTTGAGTTAGAATAAATCAATACCGTAGCCTGACCACCCCCTGAGTGATGAAATTAAAGTTTCAAAGATTACACAATTGAAGAGCAGGTTCTAGATCCACACTGGCCCCTGACAAGTCCTGCCAGGTGTGATGTACACAGAACTTTTTAAAACCACAATGTGTTCTATAATAGTGCCATCATTTTTTTTTCTAACAATACATTTCACAGTGGTGAATTTGATCTTAATTACCTATGTATTTACATATTATTATTCAATTCTACGTTTTAGAGTAGTATTTTCAATAGCTGTACAATCTGCTGTTGTTTTTCTTTACATACCTGCTTCAGTTTTTCATCTGTGAGACAGTTAAGTTCAATAATAAACTCACTGTCTGTAGGGGAGATTTGAGCAGAAGGATCAATGATTTTAATAATATCAAGTTGCTCCCGAAGACCCATCTCAGTACTGACTTTACGACTCAGATACTCAATATATTCCACCTATGTGACGAAAAATTACAGAAAACAAAATCAATGCTAAAACTTCTGATCCTTTAGTATGTCATTTATAATGTGTTTACATATGAGAAGCACTTAATATTGTATTTGTTCCCTGCAAAACATTTAGTTAAAGTTCAGATTCAGATTTACTAAGCAATTCACATTTACCCAGCAGCTTTAAATGGGCAATAAAGTGTGCGTCACCTATTCTCCACACATATGCTTTTAATTAAGAATGATGAGATCCCTACCTGCTCATCATTTGTCATTGCACTCCAAGGAAGTTCATCTAAATTCCGGTGTTTGTTTTTCTTTTTTGGAAGCAGGCAAGGTGAACTTGGAATACTGGGTATGACATCAGAAAGCACATCACTCCCACTGGCAATGTCACTGCCTGGTAACTTTGTAAAAATAAAGAGGCGGGGATGGTTAGGGAAAGCAATTTTTTTTTACATTTTAAATACCACAGCATATTTCACATTGATTAAAAGTTACTTTAACATCAGACTAATGGCGAATATAGACTACTAAGAGGACATTAATTCTTATCATGCCTATTTTAGACAAAGCAGCAACGTCAACATACTCTTTGTATACATTCACTCATTCAATTAAATATATTTTCCAAAAGCACAAAATCATAATCAAGACTTGTTAATATGCTAACTTAAGAGTCAATCATCAAGGTTTTTAATTTGTGAATTAGGAGCACTGATCTATATCACAGGAGACCTGACAGAACTGCACTAACTGGCGTATTACTAGATACTAGCCTCCGTACCGCCAATACAAAGCTAACTAAATCATGGTCTTTGTCCTCAAGTCTGTATCAACAAGCTCAAGACAATTAAAATAAAGAGCTACCTTTTAGCTAAATAACAGACTGGCTCACAAAATAAAGAATATCACCCATGAGTACTGTGCTCCTTTAAAAAATCATCGATATGAGACCAAATGGTCAACAATTACTCTAAAGCAAAGATGAGAAGGTAAGGGGGCAGGGAAACTAGATTAATGGAAACGGAACAACCAGAATGGAAATAATGAGAATGTTCACATATTGTGAAGAATGTAACCAATATCACTGAACAATCTGTGTAGAAATTGTTGAATGAGAACCTACTGTGTAAACCTTCACTGAAAACACAATAGTGTTATTTTTTTAAAAAGTTTAAAGATACTGTTAATATAAAGCAAAACACTTTACAGACCAAAAGCATTGTAAATGAAAAGTGAGAAAAAAATAAAAGACAAAGTGTAGACAAAGGAGAAATACAAGAAACCCTAACAGAAAATCAAATCAGTTTAAAGTGAGATGAATAACAAAAACATGTTCTAAATTTTATATTGCCTATTAAAAACCAATAAATACTATCAATTAGAATGGATTTAATTTGAAACAAATGTATGTAAGTCATTCAACAAAAACATGAATTATTTTCTTCTACAAGGACTATGTAACAATTTTCAAAGATACTGGTTTCATTTTTACAAGCTACAAAACAGCCGTTTTTGTTGTTGTTGTCTTTTGGTTTTACGAAGTTTGTAATTATATCTGAACTCTGGATGATTACTAGACTTTTGAAGTTACCAAAACAGAAGAGCTACATTAGGCATGAAGACTACCGCAATCACATGTATTTGGATTCCTATTGTACGAACGGCATTAAAATAGGTACAGTGGATATAAAGGTGTATAAGTCATGGCCCTGACAGAACTTTATACTCTACTTGGGAAGGCAATACAGTATCACAAATATTCAATTATACAACATAGCACCTAACAAATGCTAGGTTTGAGATAGCAGATCTTCAATGGAAATATCTAGCAACAGGTTGAAGCTACAGGATTAAAGTTTGAGAGAGCTACAAGGGACTGCAGGCAGGCAAACTGGGGAGTCAACTGAATACAAGTGATGAGTGAAGCCACAAAAATGGGGCTGATCACTATGCAAGGTGAACCATGACATTCTGAGTAAAACTGTTAGGAAGAAAGCATTATTTCTACATTCCCATAAGTAGCTACTACTCTTAAAAGTCACATTTTCACTTTGACAGTCGTTGATAAATCCAAGTGTGTAAGAGACTTCCAACAATTTGTATCACTTTCTTTAAAATCCCATTAACTAACACTGCTTGAATTGTTCGCCCTTTAGCCCTGGTGGCACAGTGGTTAAGAGCTCAGCTGCTAACCAAAAGGTCAGCAGTTTGAATCCACCAGCTGCTCCTTGGAAACCCTATGGGGCAGTTCTACTCTGTCCTATAGGATCGCTAAGAGTCGGAATTGACTCAATGGCAATGGGTTTTGTTTTGGGTTTTTTGTATCCCTAACATAGGAGCCCTGGTGGCAAAGTGGTTAAAGACCTTGGCCGTTAACTGAAAGGTCAGTAGTTCAAACCCACTAGCTGCTCCACAGGAAAAAGATGTGGCAGTCTGCTTCCTTAAAGATTTACAGTCTTGGAAACCCTGTGGGGGAGTTCTACTTTTGTCCTATAGGGTCACTATAAGTCTGAATTGACTCGACCGCAACAGGTTTGTGTTTATCCGTAACATTATCTAGTTGGTGCTATGAAAGGATTTTTGCTGAATGCACCAGTGAAAGCCATCTCTTTTTCAGGCTTTAATGGCAAAAAAGAAAACACTATGCTATTTTCTCTTTGAAAGCCTTCAAACCACAACATCACTGCCTTAAAGATTTCTCTGAAGTCCCTAAAACAAGATGAAACACCCCTTAACAGATGAAAGGTCTCCCCTACTTCAAGCGCCTTTGATAAATTAAAGGAACTCACAAAATGCCTATACTTTCAAAATTTAAGAAAAATTTTCATCTAAATCTTTAGTATCTGTCAGTTTCCAAGATATACACTAAGCACTTAAATTTGTGCCTTTAATTCTGTTTGTTTGTGGCAACTGGGTTGTAAAAAGGGCAACGGTTCTTTGCCCACTTTTTCACAGAGAAGTAAAAAGAGCCCAGAGAGAGTTCCAGTCCCAGCTCCCCAGCTCAGTAGCTGTGTGATTTTGTGTCAGTTAGTTCACTTCTTTGAACATAAGTGTCTTCAGTAAAATGTGGTTAATGCCATCATCTCAAAGGATTATAGAGAGCTTTAAATGAGATAACATGCCTGGAACGCAGGTGACACTCAATATACTGATGTATTTTTCTTTTTCCATCTCTTGCCATGCTTTTTGACCCTAAAAAAGGAGGAAGCACAAATTCTTAAGCAATGCCACATGTTGCTGCGGTGACTGGGTTGTTTCACAAAGCAGTCTTTCAGAATGGCAAAAGGAGAAAAAGGAAAAAGACATTTAGGTAAGGAGAATAATAAAATCAAACGAAGGAAAAAAAGGGGGTAAGGTTAAGGAGGCTAATATGATTAAAACAGAAAATCTGTGCCAGGGACTTGAAAGCTCAACAGAAGAACCAGAAGCTATTATATGTTATGTAGAAGTGGGCCGATAACATTTTCTAAGTAGAAGTAGTAACTTGATGAAATTCGTCATGCGTGAAGACTAGTTAAAAAACAGCACAAGGGCAAAATAAGAGTGTGGAAAGATTGGAATTAGACAGGAAGTTCTTGTGATCTAGGCCTGGAGTAAGATAAACAAAGGAGTCTCTGAGTGGTGCAAATGGCTAAAGCGCTCGGCTACTAACCAAAAGGTTGAAGGTTTTAGAGTCCACTCAGAGGCACCTTGGAAGAAAGGCCTGGCGATCTACTTCCAAAAAAATCAGCCATTAAAAATCCTATGGAGCACAGTTCTACTCTGACACATGTGGGGTCACCATGAGTCAGAATCTACTGGACAATACCTGGTTAAGATAAGCAAAAATGGAAAGAAAAAGAAGAGTAGATGTGTAATTTTTCTAAGAAAATTTACAAAGCTGCTTGATAAATGAATGGATAAGGGTAACAGTCAGACACATCAAGATCAGAAGAAAACTGGTGACATTTCAGTCATACAACCCACCCACACAGCAAGAGAACTGAAGCAATATTACAGATCTTCCTGTCCAACACCCTTATTTTACAAATAAGGAAAATGATGTCCAGGCAGAATTCAGAGTAGGACAAAAGTCCAGTGCTCCCAACTATGCCATGCAGTCTTGTCGTGTAGTTTGGAATGAGAGAAGAATGAAGTTTGGGATACAGAGAGCTTGTGGTGATAATGGGAGAAGCACGCACAAGTGTCCTTTGAACAGACAATCATCATTTTCACTACTGTATAAAATGTGTCATAAAGCAGAGCCTAGTTTTTCCCGTGGAAACACTGTAATTGGAAATTGTATTACTGACCAGCAACTCAGCAGCAGATGACAGGTTTGCATTAAACAATAAGGTCATCCAAGTGGAAAGGTCAAGTAGTCAGCTGGAGATATGGAATTAGAGCAATAGATGTATAGGAGAATTAATTATATTGGCTCTTGTATATTTATCAGACCAGCAATTATCCATTTTACAGCTGATAATATATTTCAGAATAAAAATGCTTAATAACTCCTATCCCACACTATTCAGGACAACAATATTTGGCATGTTTATATTATAATCAGTAATTGTGACAAGTAGGGAGAATTAAATCAAACCTCTGCCATATTTTTTGCAAGATGCAGCAGAACTTTACAAGTTAGCTCATTTCTATAACAGCTGATGTGTAATTTCAGATTATACCTCTAGGTTTCAAGTGCGACAGCTGAATTACTCACTCTTTAAATTTTCTATGCTCTCTTGCTCAACAAAAGAAATAATTTCTTAAGCTCTAAGAGTAGTCAAATATATCTTAACAATAAAAGGACTACAGGCACAGAACACTATCAGCAAAACTAAGATGCTACTTCATTCTAAAGTTAAAATCCAGCCTTATAAGTAGTTAACATTTCTCTTCCCAGAGAATCTATGAATCATTTGTATTTACTTTTGTAGTAACTGAAACATCAGTTTTTTAAAAAAGATTTAAACAGATGCAGTTTTTATCACAACAGAGGTAATAAGAATCTTCAAACTATAGTAAACAATTTTTAGTCTATATTAATTCTAACATATAATTAGTAATTATCCTCTTGGATAATTTACTGCTCATCATTATGAGGTCCCTCAAAGACAAGAGAGAGCATTTTAAACCTTTCAGTATATTTAAATAGCAAATATCCATGGTAACAGAGTACCCACACTCCAATTTCAGAAGAGGGAAAACACATTACTAAGGCAGGCTTGATTTTTGTTCTGATGTTGTAGTCACTCATGTACATTAACAGTAAGTGGCTGGAGGTAGTTTTCCACTCTACTCATGAAATGGGTGAAAAAGAGAGCAATTAAAAACAGCAAACGCTTGCATTTTGCAACATTACAGATGGTAAGAGCTCCAGACACATCACATGAAATATGCACAAAAATATTTTCAGAATTACCAGGACTCCATGTGATTATTATGCTTTATTAAGAATCCTTGTAGTCTGATTTTAAATATAAAGTGATCTTTAAAAAAAAAAAAAAAACACTGAAGAATAAAAAGGTACACACACAAAGATCCTCACTGCTGTATTATATATAATAGAAAAAAACTGAAACAGATGTAAATAGGGGAATGGTTTCACAAGTTCTGGTACATCTAGTAGCAGGAATATTATGCAGCCATTAAAAAATGTATTATGAAGATCACAAAAAAGTTTATATGTTAAATAAGAAAAACTTGTTACAAACCCCACAGCTATCATCACACTCAATGGTGTAAGACTGAAAGCTTTCACACTAAGATCAGGAACAAGACAAGGATGCCTGCTCTCACCACTGCTAGTTTTAGCCAGAGCAATCAGGCCAAGAAAAAAATAAATAAAAGGCATCCAAATCAGAAAGGAAGAGATAAAACTATCTCTATTCATAGACGACATGATCCTATATATAGAAAATCTCACAGAATCTACAAGGAAGCTACTGGAGCTAATAAATGAATTCAGCAAAGCTGCAGGGTACAACATCAACACAAAAGAATCAGTTGTTTCTGCACACCAGCAACGAACAATCTGAAAAGGAAATTTAAAAAAAAATTCCATTTACATTAGCATCTAAAAGAATAAAATACCAAGCAATAAATTTAACCAGGGAGGTGAAAGACTTGTACACAGAAAACTACAAAACATTGTAGTTGTAAAAAGAAAATAAAGAAGATCCAAATACATGGAAAGACATCCTGTGTTCATGAATTGGAAAACTTAATATTGTTAAGATGACAATACCACCCAAAGTGATATAAAGATTCAACACAATCCCTATCCAAATTCTAAATACCTAATTTGCAGAAACAGACAAGCTAATCCTAAAATTCATATGGAATTGCAGGACATTCTGAATAGCCAAATCAATCTTGATAAAGAACAAAGTGGAAGGACTCACAATTCCCAATTTCAAAACTTACTACAAAGCTACACTAATCAAAACATGTGGTACTGACATAGGATAGAAATACAGACTAATGGAATAGAATTGAAAGTCCAGAAATAAACCCATACATCTGTGTTCATCTGATTTTTGACAAGGGTACTAAGACCATTCAATGGGGAAAGAATTTCTTCAACAAATGGTGCTGGGGCAACTGGATAGCCACAGGCAAAGAATGAAGTTGGACGCCTAGCTGAACAGGCTGAAGTACAATCCCATTTGTATGTGTGCGTTTTTAACGATATGTAAACATACTTATATCTGCATAAGCTCTTAAAAGTGGTAACTCCAGCAAAGTGGAACTGGAAGATTTTATTTTTAATTTTAGGCCATTCTGTGTTCTTTGATTTTTATAATAAAAAGATGTGTGAAATAAAATTTGATTCCTCTTGTGGAATACAACTTGGACTATTTAGATGGCTTTCGAACATAGTAGACGTCATGTGTCTGTAGGAAAAAAACGCTGTATGCTAGAAAAGCTTCTTTAAAATGCTATTGTCTTTTACAATCAGAAAATGCATGTCACAATAACACAATCTACATTTTCTGAAAGATTACAGTCATTACAAAGCAACATTTTCAAATGATTTACCATAAAGCCATTTCACATGGTTATATGTATGTACCACAAGAAGGAAAAACACTAACAAAAAACACCTCTCCATACAAGGAGAATAAACAATGAAAAATTATACTGCATTTCTGATAACAGAATAAAAAATTATGTACTTATGGTAATAATGGTTTCTCATCTTAGATATATGACATGACCCTGATACGAGGATATTGTGCCTAGAAGGACACAAAGGCTATTTATTATAATGTAGAAAGAGTACATCTGCTTGGATTCATGCATAGAAAGGCACTGATGATATATAATAATATTATACATTATACATTATACAAGTATTAAATTACATGAAAATCTACAAAAGGACATCTGTAGCATCAGAGGCCTAAAAGGTACATTAACAAACATAAAGGATACATATTCCATCTAATTCTTAACCTTCAAATGTGCTGGCAGAAAATCACCAGGATTCAATAAACACTGGAGAAATCTACTTTGAAATAGAGGTGAAAACATCAAAACACAAATGCATACTTCTATTTATGAATCAATGATGCTAATAAAAGAAAAAAATATCTACCTGCCATTCAAACTCACTATCTGACCAGTCCCAGTAAGTGCTAATAGAAGAGGAGACATCACTGCAGACACTCCCCTCGGGGAATAAATCAAAAGAAGTGAAGTCTTGATCATCTAACAGGGAATAGCAATCATCTTGATCTCCAACAGAAACTGATGAAAACAGCTCCTCACTGCATTCTGAGCTGGCAACACTTGTTCCACAAGAAGTCAAGTTCCACCTTCAAAAACACAACACAAAAGAAATCACAACAGGAACTATACAATTCTAAGGTATTAATGTGAAATATGGCTATATTTTTAGGTATGACAGTGATATTGTGATTATTTTCAAAGCGTCTGTCTTTTTAGGACATATAATAAAATATTTATGAATGAAATACATCTGGGATTTGCCTCAAAATAATAAGGAAGGTGGTCAGGGAATGGGTAGGAGATGAAGCACGTTGCCATATGTGAATAATTGTTAAAGCTGTGTGATGGGTGCATAGGGTTCACTATGCTACTCTCTCTACTCTTGTATCTACCTGAAATTTTTTATGAAAAAATTCAAATAAAGAAAAATATATCTAAACAAGGAATAAAGTAAAACCTTCATCCATTAGGAAAAAAAAAAAAACGTTATGAGTAAGCTCTGGAGTCAGACTGAGTTCAAATTCCTGCTGTCACTCCCTGTTTGATCTTCAGCAAGTCACAACCTCTCTAAGCCTGGGTCCTCATCTTTAAAATTGGGTTATTGTGAGGACTACATGAGAATGTATGTAGAGCACTTAGCACAGTGTAACACATAAAAGTGCTCAATATACGATCTATTATTAAATTAAAAGAGGGAGGCCATTCCCAGGTAGAGAAAAGCACCAACAAAGTACACAGGTAGAAGTTTAAAAAGTGTCTCTTGTATTTAAATAACTTTTACGTATTAGTTATACAGACTCATTGAAAAGATTTTAGAATAAGAGTGAAGGAAATTAAAATGATCAATAATTTCATTACCCAGCAATAATCCTTAGTATTTTCGTACTTTTTTCCTACATGCATATATATTTATATACAAAATTAGGAATCATTCTGCATACATACATATTTTAGTATTCTGCTTTTGTTTTCACTTAACATTATAGACTGAACATTTCCCCAAGTATATTACTTGAAATATTTGAATGACTATATATTTATTACTCCATTTATTGAATGTATCATAATTTAGTTAACCTTATTCCTGCAAAAATATTTAGGTCATTTCTAATGTTTTGTTCACTATGACAAATAATATTGAGATGAGCCTTCTTGTTTATTATTATTTGTCCAAATACATATTCTCTCAGGATAGATTGCTTGAAAGGAAAGTACTGGGTTAAAGACTATTAACACTTTCAAGGTTCTTGGCACATCTAGTCAAATGTTGTCAGGTGCCATTGAGTCGGTTCCGACTCAGAAACCCTAGGTACAATAGAACGAAACATTGCCCGGTCCTGCACCATCCTCACAATCGTTGCTATGGTTGAGCCCCTTGTTGCAGCCACTGTGTCAATCCATCTTGTCGAGGGTCTTCCTCTTTTTCGCTGACCCTCTACCAAGCATGATGTCCTTCTCCAGGGACGGGTCCCTCCTGATAGTGTCGCATTCACTGTCAAAAAGAACATTTCAAGATCTATCCTGAAGTACAACGCTGTCAGTGATAGGATAATATCCACACGCCTACAAGGAAGACCAGTTAATACAACCATTATTCAAATTTACACACCAACCACTAAGGCCAAAGATGAAGACATTGAAGATTTTTACCTACTTTCGCAGTCTGAAATTGATCAAACATGCAATCAAGAGGCATTGATAATTACTGGTGATTGGAATGTGGAAAGTTGGAAACAAAGAAGAATAGGCAGTTGGAAAATACGGCCTTAGTGATAGAAACCACACCAGCACAATAGAATTTTGCAAGACCAATGACTTAATCATTGCAAATCTAGTCAAATACCTTTTTGAAAGGCTGCAAACCAAAACCAATTTACACTCCCTAGAGCAGAATTTAAAAGTGCTCACTGCACCACACCCTTAACAGCAAGGGGATTTTTTTTAAAAACATTTTTATATCAATGTTTATTTTTAAAAAAGTAAGATCAAAATTATTAATTAGCCATAAATAGTACATGTAGAAACTGTTAAATTGGTGTATGTTTTGCTGTGTATATTCTCAAAAATGAAATAAATAAAATTATATTAAAAATATTTATTAGTCATTTTGCAATAGGGTTTTTGTGTGTGTTAATGTTTTCCTTACTGATTTTTATGAGAGTTCTATACGCATTAAGAGTAATAACCCTTTACAGTATTTGTTGAAAGTTTTTTTTTTTTTGGTCTTGAAATCTATTAATATTTTCCTTTGTAAATTTCCACTAGTTTTACACTATTAACTAGATAATTATCACTGCTTTGGCAGCAGCATACGGAATTGATCCTTAAGATAATGATTCAGTATTTCCGATACTAATAAGCTACTGAAATAATGACTTCCTGAAGAAAAGCTTGTTATTTACCTATTATTCAATTGTTTCTCATCCTTCCTTAAATCCAGTTTTTCTTGATGTATGTACCTCATTTTTTAACTTCCTCACCTTATTTTGTATGATTAGTCTTAATTCAGGTTCTTGATTTACAAAATTTGGGCAGCCTGAAAAATTTTATGGCACCTTTTCCTTTGAGCTACCTTTCCTTTGGAAAGGAAAAGCCTTGAAACACACACACACACACACACACACACACACACACATACACACACACACGCAAATCTATTATACTTCAGTAAACATAAAAGCAGGTATCAATGGAAATTTTATAAATAGGCAAGAAATAACCTTTTTATCCAAGGATCCTAAAATATCTAGTAAGATTATTTAGTTTCATCACATGCTTACTGGGTAGGCAGCAACTTCATTTTTAAAAAACCAACAAACCTAGTACAAATTAACCAAATTGCCCAGGTCTTGCAATACGGCAATATAAAAGCTGTGAATGGCAATCACATGTTCTGTCCCGGAGACAGTAAACCGCATCTCCATTGTGTCCTGAACAAACTATTTTTCTCTTTTGTATTCAAACTGCATGTACCTTTTTTACCTTTATTCATTCATCCATTCAACAAACATTTTAGTCAGTATCTTCTACGTGACAGGTACTGTGTTAGTTGCTAGGAAAAACTGTTAGATAATTGTTTTCAGTGGGAATTTCTTTTCAGCTTGTAAAATTTCTGTAAAAAATTGTTTCCCTCTGTCATGGTTTGAATTACGTCCCCCCAAAAATTGTGTATCCATTTGGCTAGGCCATAATTCCTGGTACTGTGTGATTTTCCTGTATGTTGTAAACCTGCCTCTGTGATGTTCATGAGGGAGGATGGGTGGCAGTCGTGTTAGTAATGCAGGGCCTGATGTACAAGACTGGATTGTGTCCTGAGGCAATCTCTTGAGATATAAAAGACAGAAGTGAGCAGTGAGACAGGGGGATCTCATACCATCAAGAAAGCAGTGCCAGGAGCAGAGCGTGTCCTTTGGACAGAGGTCCCTGCGCCGAGAAGCTCCTAGTCCAGGGGAGCACTGATGAGAAGGCCGACAGAGAGAAAGCCTTCCCCTGGAGCTGACACCCTGAATTTGGACTGTTAGCCTACTTTGACTGTGAGGAAATAAACTTCTCTTTGTTAAAGCCATCCACGTGTGGTATTTCTGTTATAGCAGCACTAGATGACTAAGACACCCTCCAAGTTCCTTGGTTTGTGCTCTGACCTTTGGGTAAAATCAGTACATTCCTCAGCTTTCCAGACTCACAACTACATACCAGGATTCTGGATATTCTCAGAAGCCTTTGTTTTGTTTTGTTTTGTTTTTGTTCTTGTTGGTGGTAGTGGTTTTGTTGTTTTGTATCTTTCGTTTTTTAAATTAACAGTGGAAAAGAAATTGTGCTCACGATGAAACAAATCACCTCAAACAACAAAAACACAGTATTTTTTACTATTAAAATATTTCTTAATTCTGTACCTAGGGTTTACAAAGATTATTTTTATTACTTTTTGAAGGCAATGTAGATAAACACAAAGTAGGAATTACCTTAAGTCATGGCTGGTGGGAGTATAAATTAGCATAATCTTTCTGGAAAACAATTTGGCAGTGTATCTATATCAAGAGCTTTAAAAAGGTTCATTCTTTTGGACATAGTAATTCCTCTTCTAGGAACCTATCCCTTTCCCCAACAGAAATATAGAAAAAAGATGTGTGTGTACAAACATGTCCACCACAAAATTATTTAAAATAGCCAAAAAGGGGCTTCTGGGCAACATGGCGCTACAGACAGAACCACTATGCCATCCCTCCACAGCAAAGATCCGAAAAACTAAGCCAAACAGAGAAAACGTCGATCCTGAAACCCTAAGCATCAAACAAAGAGATAAAGAACTTAGCCAAGCACCAAATGGAGTAAGAAACTGACAGAGAAAAGAGAATGAGGAGAGACACATGCAGAGGTCCCCTATCAGCTAACGCAACACAGATCCACTATATTGGACTCCGATCGGAGATCGGTGAACAGGGAGTACAGGAAAGCAGCTTCACGGAGCTTCCAGGAGACAGAACAACCGATAAACAGCAATATACACTTTCCCACCTCCCACCCTTCTTCACCCCCACTCAGCCTCCTCTGCTTCCTGTGGCCACAGTCTCTTAGCTGAGAAGCACCAGCTTCACCCCAATGATGCTTGGATTCCACCCACCCACACTGGCTGGCTGGCTCCCTGAGTGCCATTTGTTGGCTGCTGGTGTTGCTTTTTTCCACTTCTTTAGATTTCTACCATACCTCTCACCACCTGCCTCTCTTTTCTCTCAAATACCTGGCAGACCTCGCAGCTGCACTGGTGGGATCCCCGGGGACTTTGCTTTTCTTTTTTCTAATTTTTATTTATTCATTTTTCTTTTCTTCTTCTCCTTTTTATTTTTCTCCATTTCTCAGTCTCTCATCTTCCCACTCCAACGGCAAGCTCCCCTACCACTCTATTTTGTTTGTTGGTATGTTCTTGGCTCTGTTCCTCTCTCTTCTCTCCCATACCCATCTTAGCTCCACACATCACAATCTCCCCCCTCCATCCTGCCTATCTACAATGTGCGCTGAACATCACACCTCCAAGCAGCACAGGCATGGCCTACCAGAACCTGTCCTGCACTAATTACCAACAAGCCCT